CCTTTTTGTTCCTTTTGTAGGACGGCTATTCTGATGTTGGGGTTCTGTAGAGGGATGACAAGGAGTTATTTTTTTCTGAAATTTCATCACTGAGTGTTCTTATAATTCTCCACTTAAGTTGGAAACAGCTTATCGCTCTTTTATATTAGCATTTTTTTTCCCCCCTTGTTAGAATTTTAATGAGATTGGATTGCTGTTTTGGTGGCAGGCAGGACTTGAGTTGCCTTTTAGATTTCATGTTAGGCCCCTCATTATTGTCATAATTGATTGGAAATTCGAGAGTATTTGTTAGTAAAAATTTATACATTTATTCATTAGGCGAAACGATTATAACACTTCCTTATCTCGAGAATATACATAATACAGTAATACAAATTCTTAATGAAGGCATGAGAAGTACAAGGCAGAATTCAAATGTGAATAATAAAATCTTGAATTTAATATGTTGGTATGGCCTCTGTGAACCAGAAATTTATAGGGATGAGTACATATGGTATCATTTTAATCACACATATGAATCAGAGTCTTGGTTTAGTACACAAATTGTAGAGAGGGTTGAAGAATCAAAACAGAGTGGGGGCTGGGAAAGCTCTGGTGTATGCTAATGGCAGCATTAGCAGCTTCTCTGTCTTTCCAACACAAGCTCTTCTTGTCAAGTTATCATATCCGTTATCCTCAATTGCATCCAGTATTTTCTTGTACAGTAATAATGATGACCATACCTGCAATGTGTTATAAAATCAATCCCTGAACAGAAAATCTCATCTGGGTTTCCCCTAAAATTATCAATTCAATCATAGAATGCACAAACACACACACACACACACATATATGTATAGTATGCATGTGTACATTACCGGCCAGCGGCTAGCCTTGTGAAGCTGTGAAGCTCCATCCTCTGCGAGTTTGAAGTAGAATCTTGCTCTTTTAATCTGCTCTTTCATGAACTCTCTCCATCTATCACTAACCTTTATTCCGAACACATCTTCATCGCATAGTCCAAACTGTGCAAGCTCATCTTGTGGAAGATAAATTCTCCCTCTTGATGCACTAAAAAAAAAAATTAATAAATTATCCGGTTTTTGAACTTTTGATATTCAGAAAAAAGTTTGAACTGATGAGAAATTTTCGAACTTCAGACTTACTCCTCTCCAACATCTCTAAGAATATTAGTAAGTTGATTTCCGATTCCCAAATAGAGTGCTGAATTGTATACAGATTGAGCAGGAAGTTTGGATTCTTCTGCTATTCCCATGATTGGAACACTCATTAATCCAACAGTTCCTGCAACGTAGTAGCAGTATAGATACAGCTCCTGAAAGTTGTTGTACCGGCTTTTCCATGTATCCATTCTCATTCCTTCTAGCATATCCTTAAATGGCTGCTGGCATAATTGAGTGTATGTTAGATCAAAATGGGAAAATATTGTTAGCCAAAATCAGAATTTTAAGATGAGGAGAGATTTGGGAAATGGCAAAGAGCACCTTAATATCTAAAGGAAACTTGAAGACAGTGTCTGTTAATGCAACATCAAGAATGTCATATGGCGTCCGTTGAAGATATCTTCGAGTCTTTCTTCCCATCGATGAGACTGCAGAGCTTAAGTAATCTGCATTTGGGCCCATCTACTAGTTCATCCGTTCTCTGCACCAAACTGCACCAAGAGAAAGCAAACAAAACAAAACAAACCATTATGAATCTAGTATTCGAATTCCAACTATTGTGACTTTAGCACAAAGTATTGAGAGCTTTTGCTCAATCCACACTTCGTCTTGTGAATTTACATGTGGGAAAAATATATTAGTTTACGAGTTATATGTTGAATGAAAATTTATACCATAAATTGCCCATATAGCTCTCTGTCTTTCTTCTGTCATCAGCGAAGTTCCTATATCAAGAAAGCAGACTGGACATCAATCAAACTTAAAAAAAACCACCAACCAACTTGTTTCTAGATGATGGGTTCGAGTTAAATTATGTATTTCTGTATATAATCAGCAAAAGATTATACCGTGATGAGTGTGTCCGTGCCACCTAATTAATAAAATGTATATATTTCTACTGAAACAGATTTGAACAAACATAATGAAGAAGTTTTGAAGTTATAATCTCAGAAGCTGAAATATTGTTTCTTAGTTGAAGAATAAATGAAGCTAGTGGTACCTAAATAGAATGTCTTGGCATATTCTGCACAAATGATTCTACATCTTTCATAAGCTTCATCAAGAAACATAGGATGAAACTGTGGACTAGAACAGGCATCTTCCTTGGCTGTGCTGCTCCTCTGAGATTGTTTTTCCACGATTTCACGTACTCGTTGATCAGCTTGGGGAATGCCTTTTTCTGTTGGTCTATGCAGTACTAGTGGTTTTGATACTTCGGGTTCTGCAATCGCTTGAGCTCTCGTTGTCTTCGTAGCCGAAAACTTCTTATATTTTGGCCTGCCATTGCTTGTGATTCTTATGCAAGGCTTGGCTACAAGTGACATTGTTGAAGCACACATGGGTTTTTGCAGAAGTCTTCAAATGGGTTTTTGCAGATTTGGAAGAAGAAATCTTTAGTAAAAGGACTCAAAACTTTAATTGGGAAATTTCTGATTAATTCTTATTATATCCTATAGATGTATGTATATATATATATATATATATAGTGGGTAAAAAGTTGATAAATTCCTTTTTTGTCATGATCAGAATCTTCCCATTTCATCATTGTAACTCCTAAGTTTTTGCTTTTATGTGCTTGTCTCTTGCATTGTTAATTGAGTAATACATATGGGCAGAAACATACAAATCTAACTCAAATAAAGTTAAAATCCCACATCGTTTAGAGCAAAAGCCATAATGTACTTACTGCCTAATGAAACTAAACTCTCTACATATCATTTTCATTGGTGTAATATAATCACTGAGGAGACTTCAAATAATCCGGAATCAAATTGTTTTTATTGATTGATTTAGTCATTTTCTTGGCGGAATATATATACTAACAATCGAAATACGATAAAAGAACAAATTCATATACTATCGTAACCCGATCATATATATATTGACAATCGAGATGTTACGAAAAAAACGATTTATATACTAACAGTAATCCTTGTTTTTGTACACCAACATAACTTGTAATTGAGAAAGTTTATAAAACTAATATATTATCAACTAGACTACCCTAATGTATATGTATATATCCATGTATGTGTGGATGTGTGTGTGTATATATATATATATATATGTTATGAAAGATGCCAGATTTGTCTATTGTGGTAGATAGTGTATATGCTGTTGTGGGAAGTATGTCTTGTTGTGCTAGAATCTTCATATGTTTTGATGCCTTCTCCAATCAAATCTCAAATCTGTTTATTTAAAATAACAAAAACCAGAGAAACCAGCTTCATTGGACAGATGAAGAACATGTGAATTCTGTATTAATTAATTAATTTTTTTTTTTTTTTGTCTGTGAGCTAATGGCTTGAGAATCAATTAGGGCTGCAGCTAACCAAACCTTGAAGGTGTCATCAATTATGAAAATTCACAAAAAAAATAAAATTTTTACGTGATTATTCGATAAAAGAATTAAAACGAACGAGTTACGATTCGCGATGTTTGTCAACGCAACCATTCTCGAAGTACCTAATAATTAGACGCGGATAAAACTCGTTTTACACCAATATGTTCGATTTCGAACGGTCAAGTAGTTATCGATATGAGATAATAGATGTTAAAATTTTGATTTAGTTTTTGTTCAATTATGGTATAAAATTAATTACATATATATACACGAGATCGGTTGAAATTAATTTTTATATATTTTTTAATAAAATATATTTTGAAAAATTAGTAAACAAATATATGTAGTTTACTATTTAGTTTGTCTTGAATCACAACCAAGCGTTTGTAGTCCAACGGTTAGGATAATTGCCTTCCAAGCAATAGACCCGGGTTCGACTCCCGGCAAACGCACAAAGCTGTTTGACTTTTTTCTTTTTTGGGTCAAAGCTACTAACTTTTCTCCTTAAACCGTTGACTGTTTATTAGATGCCTGCAGTCCAGATAATTAGCTTCTAAACAAACTTTAATTTCTTTTGGTTTTTTTTTTTTTTCAAAATTTCAATTAATTTCTTTTTTGAAAAAAATAATTTGGGTTGTAAGTATCATCTTTCTTTACTGGCAAAGCTCAAAGCTTTAGAGTTCAATGTACTTTCTGCCTCATCATACAATGCTTGTAATATGATAAACATGGAGTGATGAAGGAGAGAAGAAAGTAATAAGAGTATGGATTGAGCTCCTTCCTTTGTGTATATATATATATATATATATACAGAGAAGAAATGTATGGAGAAGATTCATACATGTGAAACACTATCATCATTACACTTTTAGCCTTTTACTTTCTAAACCTATTCCAACTCCACTCAGAGTACATCTACAGATGAGGCGAGGAAAAAAAAAAAAAATGTATTATCATTTGTTCTCTTTCAAGTTCAGAGTCATGGGTTTGAATGCTGCTAAAACAACAGCTACTTTACATGCCAGAAATCCCATCATTCCTCCCAACACTTCTTTTGCTGTAAACATGACTGTATCATCTCCTGTACTACTACCATACTTCACTGCTACAACAGAAATTGCAATCGCCAGCGCCAAGCTCAGTAATGGGCCCTTGAAACCTCTAATTATTTGATTATCATTCTCTTCGTTGCCGGGTACCTGTAGTCCATCAACAGATCTTTGCAACAGCAACAAATACAGAAATCCGGTGATTCCACCAATCAGGAATGCAACCCCAGAACCTTTCCCGAATGACAGGGATGAAATAGACGTGCCAACAAATACAAGAATTGCATCGTAAAATAACAAAGACAGCTTCAAATCTGCATATTCCTTCATGCTTTCCTCATTAGATAAGGCTTCATTTGGAGAGGCTGATTTTGAAGCGTTTCTACTCAACAGGGTGAGAGGGTTGATTCCGGATGTTTCAGTAACAAGCGATGGTGTTAATTCTACCATGGATACTTCACCTCCCTCTCCGAGCAAAAGATCATCAGTTTCAAAGTCATACTGGAAACCAACATACACCGTTTCCTCCCTACCATTTTTGTTCAACAAATTTTTAGATGTGTTGAGGATGGTGAGGCTCACGTCTCTGAGTCTCCATTGACCTGACCTTAGAAATAGAAAAAGAGTGAAGAGATGACAATTATCAAATGACCCAGTTGAAGCCAGGGATAAGTCTACAAAATGGGCTATTCACGCATTGAAAATATCATCTTTCAACAGATAAGGAAATGATATAATGTCGTATCATCTACTATAATTCTGCAACAGTTTATTATCTCAAAAAACAAAACCCTGCAACAGTTGATAACTAGTAGGATGAGAGCAGAGAAAACATAATGGCTTTCAATTCAAATTTGTTTTTTTATGAGAAACAATCAGCTGCAATTTTCTAAATAACTGAAGCATTCCTTCAGGAGGTGTATTTAAATGGCTAGTAGAACAGTGTCTACCAGTTGGTATATTGTGCGGACATATTTTCACAATAAGAAGCTAACCTGATTCAAGGCTGACCCAAACAGCTTTAATTTTTCCTAGTTTTGGTCCCAAGAAGGTGAATTCATCGACTGACCCCCTTTGGAATCCGAGTCTTTCAGGATCAACCGATTCTGAAGAATGATCAGTCACTAGATTTGCAGGAATTCTCTGTAATACCGAGTCTCCATTTTCATCCATCAAGCAGAGAAGTACTCCAGCGCTTAAATTGCTCAGACTGGAGCCATAGATGTTACTGGTCTCTAACTTAACCTTAAATAAAGACTCAGATTCATTCAAATTAAAACAAGAGAAACTCTCTTTTTCTGACTTTCCTGTGCAGACTTCTACTTTCGTGGCTGGCAGAAGACGCAAAGGTTTAGCATAGCCCTGAAAGTCTGAAGCGAAGATTAGTTACCGTTAATTGATAGTGTTACTCTTAATTATGATTTGAGATTCATCAATTTAACAAATGGGAGGTTCAAATCTTATACGAGAAGATAGGACTATATATATATGATTTAAGTGCTACAATAATATCGATTTATTGAATTTTCTTCTTTCCTCTATGGGCATAATGATAAATTAGACGAGAACACAAGTACGCCATTAGCTACAGAATGATCTCCAATAAACAATATCTTAAGCTTATATTTGATTCCCGCCATAAATACAGAATTTTGAATAACATTGCAAAAAGGATAAAAATGTCATTTTGCTAAATTATCCGTGTTGAACTTGATATTGATATAGATTTGAATAATACTCAGTAGAGAAATGAAACAAAAGAAGAAACAAATTAACTGGAACAAGAGCTCCAATTTCATCCAAAAGACTTCAACTTGAACTCTTTACATATTTGGATGTTACAAACCGAAAGAGAACATGAAATGAGAATAAAAAGAAGAAGATTCAAGTGAATAGCATAAACTTATGAGGTTTCTTCATGTAATCCTGAAACAAATTCTCACGTATTCGCTGGCATTTTCCACTAAGGACATGAAGCACAACTCGGGATAGAAAGAAGGTTCGAGGAAACAAGCAAAATCTAAAACAATTTCTTCATGCAACCCGAAACACATTTTATACTTGGCTGGCATAAGCAGCACAGTTAGGAAGAGCTTGACAATCTAATCGGAATCCTTTTCCCAACTCTCAAGACATGACTGGTTTCGGTTCTGAGGTTTTATGTTTATCACATCAGGGGAAAGGGAATCCAAGGCTACATCAGTATGTATCTCGTGAGAAAGATTATAGCTTTGCTGCTTTTGCGGCTAGTCTTGAAAAAAAGGATTATGGAATATATAATTCAAGATCCAACACTAAGATTTTCCATTAAAAAAAACTCAAGAATATAATTAAAATATAGAATGGTTTCATCTCACTCTTTTCCATTAGTTCGTATAACCACAAAACCTCAATGTCGCAAGCAATTTCAGTCCTAAAATAGAACTCCAGAATCATCTTGTGTTATATAATCAATACCCATCAAAAGAATTAAGTTAATTAATTGGTTTCCACCCATTATGCACTCCGTTTATTCTATCCATTTATATATTTATTATAACTACTCAAATTTCTACTTAATCCAAGAGAACCAACAGCAAACACCAACCAACTAATCAACCTCAGTCATAAAATGATAGTTTGGTTGCCAAGAAACCACGAGAAAATAAACTAAAGCGAGAAAGGAACTGATTAATTTCTCCTTGTTACCGAGAAATGAACAGAGAAAAATACCCAAAAACGAGAAAGATAATTCAAAATCATATCAACAAGAAGTAAGCAACTCTACACCAGACGGAGTTTGATACCTTGAAAATCAGATTTTTTGGAGTAGATCATAACACCCATACGAAATCGACCGGGTTGCCATCGAATTCTTTTTCTTAGATGAACTGGGTTTCTCCTATTTGCAGCGAATACTGCATGGGTCAGGGAAACCGACTCCATTTCCACTACCTTGAAATGCAGTTTTCAGAGAGAGAGAGAGAGAGAGAGAGGGAGTTAGATTTTTTCTTTATATTTTTAAAGTGGTTAATATATTAAAAAGTATTTTCTTCAATTTAAATTTAAATAGAATTATAAAAAAAAAAATCACTTCATTTTTATTTTATTATAAAAAAATTTATTTATTTATTTTAAAAATAATCAAAAATTAAACTCATAAATCAAGCATAGTTGACTTATAATACACTAATAATAGAATAATAAATTTTATGTATGGATTATCATAACTCATAATATAGTAGTAAATAATAAATTTTATTTTTTTTAATAATTTTTAAATTTATAATATTCGAACAAAAATATTGTAATATCTTACTATATTGATTAAAAAAAATTATTTAATTATTATTGGACGAACTAAACATAAAAATTTTGAAAATATTGTAATAATATAAGAGAATTTTAAAATTGTTTATCATTGATATATTTTTTAATAATTATATTTATAAATATTATTATTAGTTTACTACTATATCTAATGATTCATTATGGTTATTATAATATAGTTGTATAGTTCATGTGCTATCATTGCGGTCAGTTTCATTCCTCTTTTACTTTAGAATTTCGCATGCATTGTAAATTAAATTATATTTTCTAAAAAAAAAAGAATTTAACAATTATTAAATGATATAACAAAAGATACAATAATTTCTTAATATAATTTACTTTCCAAATATAGAAATTTGGAAAGTAGGTGTGTGATGGATTTGAAAATTTAGTAAAATTAATACAACTTGTGAAAATTATGTAAAAAGAACATTATTTTCTTTTTTTGTTAATGATAAAATGTTGCTTTTGAACATTTTGGTAATAAATGAATGACTACTTTTGAACATCAATATATATATATATATATATATATAATATATTACAAAGTGAAAACAAAAGTTAATTGAAGTCTTTGACATAATAGATAGTAAGGGAGGAAAAACATATGAGATAATATATAATATCAATGTTTCATAATAGATAGTAAGAAATAATGAATTCGACTTTTACTTTCCATCAATTATTTTTTAAATGAATGATTGTTATTTTTATTCATATTTTTATAAAATTCGGAACTTGAATTGGGTTATATATTTTATATATATGTACTACTTAATTATTAAATGTAAACGTTATTGTTAAAAAAATATCGGTTTAACTTTTTATTTTTAATATACAACTTAACTTGTAAATATCAGATTATGATATAATATTTTTTTGTGGTAATTTTTTGAAAATGAGTTAAAAAATTTGAAATTTGTTATGAAAATAACCTTAATTATTTTAATTTTTAAACTTAGAAATATTAAAATTTCAAAATTAAGGCATATAGTGATTTAAATTGGATTTAAACCATATAATCTTTCAAATTAAATAAATATAAGTTCATAATTTTTTTTAATAATAAAAATATTATTTTTCAATAAAAAAAGCACGTGATGATAAGGAATAAATTCAATATCATTTTTCATCTCTGAGTCTTTTCAAGTCCGCTTAATGAAGTGAAAAATATATCTTTTACAAAATGATCTTTTTCTGATTTTGCATTTTCTTCCCAGAATCAGGAAAAAGTTAATTTGTAGATTCTCGAAAAATCTGAACTAAAAAAGATTTTTGTATTTCAGTCTAAAAGTAACTTTCCTGATCCTCACTCACTCCAAAAAAACTTTCCTTACTGTCTCTTTCTTTTCTGTTCTTGGAAATTATATCATTATCTTCACAGTTCAATCCATGAAAATCTACCATTCTTGACTAATCATCTATTCCTCGAATCTCCATCACTGTTTCTGTCCAATCCGCCATCTGGGTGGCGCTTGAATTGCTCAAAGAAGAAGAAGGAGAAGCAACTAGAATCAGAAACTAGAGGTTTCCATTCAGAGATTTCACCCATCACCATTAAAGCTCCACAAGAATCGCCAAACACTATTCAAGAATTGCCTGTAATAACCACGACGACCACCACACCCCAACTGTTTTTTATAAATGATATTTTTTCGATTTTGCATTTTCTCCCCAAAACTAGGAAAAAGGTACTTTGCCGATTCTCGGAGAATCCGAACTAGAAAAGATTATTGTATTTCAGTATAAAAATAATTTTTTTGATCCTCACTCACTCTAAAAAGACTTTTCTTACTGTATCTTTCTTTTCTGTTCTTAGAAATTACATCATCATCTTCACAGTTTAATCCATTAAAATCCACCGTTCTTGACTAATCATCCATTCCTCGAATCTCCATCACTGTTTCTGTCCAATCGGCCATCTGGGTCACGCATGAATTTCTCAAAGAAGAAGGAGGAGAAGACAATAGAATCAGAAACCAGAGGTTTCCATTCAGAGATTTCACCCATCACCATGAAAGCTCCATAAGAATCACTAAACACTATTCAAGAATTACCTGTAACAACCACGACGGCCACAACACCACCAGCTGTCTTTTACAAAATGATCTTTTTTCGATTTTGTATTTTCTCCCCAGAACCAGGAAAAAGATAATTTGCAGATTCTCGGAGAATCCGAACTAGAAAAGATTCTTGTATTTCAGTCTAAAAGTAACTTTTCTGATCCTCACTCACTCCAAAAAAACTTTCCTTACTGTCTCTTTCTTTTCTGTTCTTGGAGATTACATCATTATCTTCACAGTTCAATCTATGAACATCCACCATTATTGACTAATCATCCATTCCTCGAATCTCTATCACTGTTTCTGTCCAATCTGCCATCTGAGTCGCGCTTAAATTGCTCAAAGAAGAAGGAGGAGAAACAACTAGAATCAGAAACCAGAGGTTTCCATTCAGAGATTTCACCCATCACCATGAAAGCTCCATAAGAATCGTAAACACTATTAAAAAATTGCCTATAACAACCACGACCACCACACCACCAGTTGTCTTTTACAAAATGATCTTTTTTTGATTTTGCATTTTCTCCACAGAACTAGGAAAAAGGTAATTTGCAGATTCTTGGGGAATCCGAACTAGAAAAGATTCTTGTATTTCAGTCTAACAATAACTTTCCTGATCCTCACTCACTTAAAAAAAACTTTTCTTACTGTCTTTTTCTTTTCTGTTCTTCGAAATTACATCATTATCTTCAAAGTTCAATCCATGAAAATCCACTATTTCTGACTAATCATCCATTCCTCGAATCTCTATCACTGTTTCTGTCCAATCCGCCATCTGGGTCGCGCTTGAATTGCTCAAAAAAGGAGGAGAAGTAACTAGAATCAGAAACAAGAGATTTTCATTCAGAGATTTCACCCATCACCATGAAAGCTCCACAAGAGTCGCCAAACATTATTCAAGAATTGCCTGTAACAACCATGACGGCCACCACAACCCAGCTGTTTTTTATAAAATGATTTTTTTTCGATTTTGCATTTTCTCCCCAGAATTAGGAAAAAGGTAATTTGCAGATTCTCGGGCAATCCGAACAAGAAAAGATTCTTGTATTTCAGTATAAAAGTAATTTTCCTGATCCTCACTCACTCTAAAAAGACTTTCCTTACTGTCTATTTCTTTTCTGTTCTTAGAAATTACATCATTATCTTTATAGTTCAATCCATGAAAATCCACCGTTCTTAACTAATCATCCATTCCTCGAATCCCCATCACTGTTTATGTCCAATCCGTCATCTGGGTCGCGCTTGAATTGCTCAAAGAAGAAAGGAGGATAAGCAACTAGAATCAGAAACCAGAGGTTTCCATTCAGAGATTTCACCCATCACCATGAAAGCTCCACAAGAATTTGCCAAATAGTATTCAACAATTGCTTGTAACAACCCACGATGGCCACCACACCACCAGCTGTCTTTTACAAAGTGATTTTTTCCGATTTTGCATTTTC